AAAAACTGATCAAGTTCATCGATCTTCAAAATAGATTTCATCTCGTCCATAGAAAAACGTTGTCCAATTTCAAACTGTTTCGTGCATTCAATTCAATTTTCGAATCAGTCCTCCATTAAATCATTGAAGGGAATGTGTTGAAAGAGTGTCAAAGAAGCGTCAATTTATCCTCAGACCGTTTGCACGCACCGGGTCAACTGCCCTCAACGGTTCATTCGTCGAACGGGTCGCAGCATTCCGATAGTTCAGATACAATTGTCATTGAATCGGCTGGTCCTAATAATATAGTGGTTTGTACACCTTAGTGTGTCTTATTTTGTGTTCAAATTCGAATCATTACATCTTAATGGCACGAATTGACAAACTGGTCGGTTTAAATGGTTTTGTCTCCATTGAATGGACAGCTTCACTCGAAAACGTTCAGTTACATCCGATTGTTTTTTTCCTGAATGGTAAACGTATCTCTATATGCATGATGATTTGAGATTGTTACTTTTCAGATGACTTTGAGTATTAATATACGAGTTAAAGGTGTGGGAATGCAATCAGATGGTAAAAGCCATGGTTTAAAGACAAAATGTGTCATAATTGAAGGGCACACGGTTTTTGGAAAGAATGCATAAACTGCGATATACCTTCAAATCAACTTTATTGTTCCTTTTATCTCCGATGTGGTCCATAGAGTTTTTGCCCATTGGTTCGTTCAGTGAATCTAATGAATTTTCTGCTGTTGTAAAAAAACTCCAATAAATCATTTTTTTACATTCATCTGCGTCAAGTGAACGTAAAGCTTTGTTCACTGGATAATCCAGTACGAAGTGAAAGCAGATAGGCTATTCGGTTCATCTCTACCGCTTTATCGTATTGAGTAAAAGAATAATCGCCTTGTGTTCATCGAATCAAATCCGATTACTTTAATTGTTAGCAGTTGTAGAGAATGTCTGTTTCTTTGATTCCTTGCCGTGTGTACGCTATAAAACTCTCGTTAAAAATCACTTAAATCTCACAAAAAACCGTATTTATTCAGCTGTACTTAGAAGAATGCAGTTTAATTCGCTTACTTTTAGTCACGCCAAATACATTGCATGTATGAGGAGGACACGATGTTGACTACGAAACTGCGCTGTGAGAAAAACTCTTTATGAATCACCAACATCAATTTTTGATAATTGTTCGATGGCTTGATTTAGCGCAATGAATATTGATTGCATTTTTCATCTGAAGTATCCCTTAAGAGAAATCGCAAGCGAGAACATTATGGGATCACATGAGCTGAATTTCAGGATTGTTTGCAATCGTGATACCCGTTTTTATAAGTCTTCACAAATGCGGAATCATAATTTACGGAGCGCACATCAGATCCAACTGATCAGATCTTTACGAAACACCTTTCAACTTGATGTTCGAACAAAATTGTACACAGTTTAAAAATGGATCGATGAATCTGTGAAATAATCAAATATCATGGGTATATTGAGGGCGGTTTAATTTTACGAGAATGAATCCACCACCAACACACATCTTTTGCATTATTATTGCTTGCATTTACATTGTTTTTACTCATTTCATCCATATATCTGCCCAAAAGAAGTTTTGTGCTATTGGACAGAATTTCGCATGTCGATACCTGCTGAAATATTTGCGGCTCGAACACATCCGTGCAATATGACATTATGTTAGACGAAAAAATAATGATTCAGTTCGATAGGTGATAATCCTAGGGAGTGATATCCATTTTCGAATGTACAATCTGATCTGACACGTGAACATATATCGTTTACTTGAAACATTCATTTCAACTGAGATATATGTTTTGCGAATTACAATTATAAATTTCAATTGCGAACGATCAGGTAAGAACGCAAATCACACATCAACGCAACTATAACAATTTCAGGTTTCGTTGAATACTTATTTTATTACGAGATGAGTTTATTTGATTGTTGAGTAGTCAATAATTTTGGCCGGAAATATTCAAGTGATTCAGGATTCCTCATCGACGTTTTTCGAGCAACCTATAATTAGAGCATTGGATGATCAATTAGGAATGAAGGAAAGCCGGTTGACGATATAAAGTAGAAACACATTTGTTCGAAAATAACTTTGAAATTTTTTGAAATGTGTAGTTATGAAACGATTCCATATTCGGTCATATAGCTTCTACAGCTAAATTTATTGAAATGAACTTTCTGAGCGGATAACAATCCAACTATAACTCAGTGTTTCACTTGGACAAGTGGTGTTCCTATGTTCAGCCGAGTCAAAATTTACGTCAGAAAGTAAGGGCCAATGTTGACCATCAAATGATCAATTCACCTTTTCTTCATTCAAAACCTCCCTTACGGCCACTTCCATTTTCTTGCCACTGATTGTATACTGCAAATTCAATTTGTTAAAAAATTTGTTCCAGTCCTTTCACGATTAATAAAATATAGCTGTTTGCAATTATAAACAATGTCTTGCGTCAACTTATTCAAAACAACCAAAATTTGCTGTTGAGTTGGTGATTGAGTAGCAATCCGATTTCATTCCTTCACTATTTGAAAATAACTTATAAATGCAATACATTGAACGTTAAACTAGAATATTAATGGTGTTCATTTCAGCACTTAGGACTGCATGCAAATCTATTTCAAAACCTGCACACAATATTGGTATGAGCACGTAACGGCGAGGTGAAGTGACACTTTGTGAATAAAAAAGATTCAAAACTGAAACCGGAATATCATCAACAGCCACGACAGTGTCTGGTGCATGGCGAGGTGACATCAGCGTTCGAAGTTGTTGTTTCAGTTTCGATATCAGTTGATCAGTTAAATCATAAGATGGTGCCATTTTAACAAACAATATAATGCGCTCATCGATATTTCCATTCCTTGAATGGCACATTAGAGTGTGTATCAGGATGTCTTCAGGATAGGCTGTGGGATTTGCTTTCCAAGAGGGAACGTGTTAATGCATTCGATCTGTACCAATGACAGTTCGATGCCGTGGGTCATGCTCAACCAGAAATAATCGATTAAAGTAAACAATATGCAGGAACGAACAATTTTTGTGGTGCGACAATACTGTCGACTATTTCATCGAATTTTTNGATGCCGTGGATCAAACTCAACCAAAAATAATCGATTAAAGTAAACAATATGCAGGAACGAACAATTTTTGTGGTGCGACAATACTGTCGACTATTTCATCGAATTTTTGCACCACTTCGTAAATCTCTGCCGTACCAATACGAACTCCACCGCGGTTCAGCGTTGCATCGCTTCTTCAAAGAAAAAATCTATCATTTTCGGAGATTCAATTATCAGTTCAATATTTAACCAACTTTGCTGAGACAGAGTCAACATTGTAAAGAAATATACATCCATTTATTACACTTCTATAAATGATTTTAGAGGAATGATCTCTACCCTTGCTACTATAGGCGTCTGTAGTAGCAAATTACGAGCATCTAAATTCACATTAACCCTTCTCGCAATTTTACTAAGCAAATGATTTTGAACATCATAATTAAGTGGACTGACTGTAGGTGAGCGATTAAAGCAGGTCAGAATTAAGAGAAAGCAACCTTCCGAGCATGATGATACCACCAGTGTCGGGATTAATACAGCAATAATCACCATGTGTCCATATCCCATCGAATCTATCGAAATATGCCTTCTTATACTTTACACCATCGGGATCATTGATGAAATGTGACGGCATCGATGGAAACGGTTTACGACAGACCAGTTCACCTTGCACACCCAACACTGGTTCACCTGGACAAGTCCGAGAAATTAGTTTATCGATGTTAGTCGAACTGAAATTAATCGATAAGAAACTTGAAGTAAACAATAGAACACACCTTGATCATTATAAGATGCCATGTCCATACCAAGATAAGAACACTGACATTCACCTTCGATCACGGGTAATAATTCAGATGCACCCATAAAACAACCAATTATGTCTGTTCCGCCGCTGATCGAACCGATCACTGCCTGAAAACAGCAATTAGATTTGAACGATACAGCTCTAAGAGAACGTTTTTCATCAATGAGAATTACTTGTGTTAAAAAGGTAACTTCGAATTGTACTATATAGGAATTATCCTCAAAAACGAAAACTTTGTCCAGCTTCATCCCATTAAACCTTTATCAATGTAGTTTCTTAGAAATGCAAATTGAGTGAAAGATGATAAGAGACAGAAACATACTTTTGCACGAATACTATTATTAATGTATCGAAAGCAATTATTGCTCAAAGGTGATCCAGTAGACAGTACCATCCGAACGGATGATAAATCATAAATTTTTGCTGAAAATTTATCACTTATTTAAACAGATCGTACAGTCAAATTCGCTTTAGTTTTTCCTTCCAAATTGAAAGAGTGTAAAACGAACCAGGGCAATCATCAAGTTTAACGTATTCCTCATAAACTTTAGCTCCCATGCCAAGTATGGTGCATCGATGTTTTGCAACAATTTTGAAAAGAATATGTGGATCTGGCAATAATGGTGATTCGTCAAATAGAACCACACTCATACCTGAAACAAACAGTACTAAACTTTGTGTACGCATGTTTTTCTTACAAAAATATGAAAATTTGAGATAGAGAATAGAACATGAGATAAACGAATGGCAAAAGCACGGTGTCATTTAATCTGATAATCAAGCATTTCGATCGGTTACTGCAGTTGAGTCCATAAAGTTCTGACATTAAACTATATGTACATGCAGAAATTTGATTTTCAAAACAAATGGATATTCGGATTAATAATGCATTGAGTATGGCAGTACTCATTTATACGAACGTATAAACTAAACCCACTGAGTACTTAAGTTAGATTATATGAAATGATGAACTGAGTAATACATGAGCACAAACCAATAAAAAACGAGGACATCAACCAATTCCACATCATCCATCCACAGGTCGTATAAAAAAGAATAGAGTCCTCCGATTGAAATCCTGTTTGCAGTAAATGTTCTGCGAGGTGTTTCAGTAATGTACCCTTGAATGATCCTTTCACCATAAGCAAACTCATATTAACAATGAAGAACTCTCATGCTTCCTCCGATTCCAGAGGGCCATTCCCTTCACCACATCATTAACACTCACCTGCTCTCCCTCTTACAACCCTCGGTTTGCTCAATGCATATGCATATATACGAATGAATAGTACCACTTACTCCAACTGTATGCACCAATCCCTTCGGTGATCCAGTAGTGCCACTCGAAAACATTATAAAGAGAGGATGTCCAAATGGAACCTGAAATATTAAATGCAAATGTAAAATAATAATGAAAGGCTGCTTATTATTATATATCCATGTTCGTATAATCAGCAAATGATAGCGATTCAATGATTTCATCGTTGAATTTCTATGTTAACATGATAGCAAAACCAATCGATTGGTTTCAATCGAATCCACTGAAATAATTCATTTCGCTAGAATAGATATATTTATTCGCTTCTATTACACGTTTAAGTTTCTTTTTAATTTAAGGAACACCTGTATTTCGTCATCGAAGTCATTCTGCTGTTACTAAATATCATACTGACTATTATTCATTTGCAGATTCCAATACACATCAGCAAAGCAAGATTCCTCACTTGTAACTATGA